CTGACATTGTCATCCAAACAGGAATGTACACATTCTATTCCATCACTCTGAAATGTGTGTAACGAAGAAGTTTATTTTTTATTATATTCACCCCTTCATTCTTATGGGGGATCTTGTGCTGCATGTGATCAAATGAAAATATCGAATCCCACCTACCCCCCCCCCCCCGACACACACACACTTTTAAAGATTTTAAAAAATAAATTATGATAAAATCATCCACGAAATGGTAGCCCTAACGAAAGCAAGTGCACGAGATTTTGTTTTTTTTGACGCCCCTTTAACGTTATTAAAATGATAAAATTCCAGCACCCTTTTATTTTAACCCTTTTATTTAACATCGTCTGTTTGAAAAAAAATCTCCACATAATTCCGTTTCTTGACCAGGTTATTGTTATTTATTTGAACATTAGGATCTAGACCAAGTTTAAAATTCTGCAACAGAATTACATTTTGAGATATTGATATTAAAATGATCCAATTGAAACTTCATGTGTTTTAATCGTATAGGGAAGAGTGATCCGTGAATTAGTGAGCCAGGAATTGTCATTAGTGAGCCAGGAATTGTCATTAGTGAGCCAGGAATTGTCGTGGCCTGTCGTTTGGCTGAGACGGCATTAAGTTTTCATTGTTTTATAAACTTGGTCAAAGTAAAATATTTGGAATTACAAGTAAGTAAAACGTATCAAATCTAAATGTTTCAAATACAAAAGCTAAGAGTTGGCGTGGGTTATTAGCAATTTAAAAAGCAATCAATTTTTTTACAGCACACATGTTAATTTAATTTCGCAATATTAACTTTGCACTAAAAAGAGCAACAGATGTTTGGCTTATCCCGATCAATATTTTTTTGAAATAATAATATTAATATAGATAGGACGCAAATTTATTCATGAAAAAAGTGAATATCTTAACTGTCAAATAAGGAAAAATACTTAAAATAGTTCGTTAATTGTTATATTACATGAATTTACGTGCATTTTTAATTTATAGCAATAATACTTAAATTTTTATTTTATTTGATGTATTTTATTTTTAGCAAATTAAAATTTATGATTTGAAATTGCTACATTGTGTTATGACGAATTTGTGCATTCCTTTTTACAATTTGATACATTTATTTTAACGATATTCTTTAAAAATCGGCCATGCGATAGATAACCCACAAAAGAATATAAATTTTCATAATTCTCTCTAGGATTTTATAATAAGAACCCCATCCCAGGCCTCACTGTGGTTGAAAAGGACAATCTCGGCATCTTGCATTAAGCTGGTGCCTAGTTGTGCTTCTAAGCTGTTGCCTAGTTGTGCTTCTAAGCTGGTGCCTAGTTGTGCTTCTAAGCTGGTGCCTGGTTGTGCTTCTAAGCTGGTGCCTAGTTGTTCTTCTAAGCTGGTGCCTGGTTGTGCTTCTAAGCTGGTGCCTAGTTGTGCTTCTAAGCTGGTGCCTAGTTGTGCTTCTAAGCTGGTGCCTGGTTGTGCTTCTAAGCCGATGCCTAGTTATTGTTCTTGACTGTTGCCTAGTTGTGCTTCTTGTCTGGTGCCTAGTTGTGCTTCTAAGCTGTTGCCTAGTTGTGCTTCTAAGCTGATGCCTAGTTGTGCTTCTAAGCTGTTTCCTAGTTGTGCTTCTAAGATGGTGCCTAGTTGTGCTTCTAAGCTGGTGCCTAGTTGTTGTTCTAAGCTGTTGCCTAGTTGTGCTTCTAAGCTGTTGCCTAGTTGTGCTTCTAAGCTGGTGCCTAGTTGTGCTTCTAAGCTGTTGCCTAGTTGTGCTTCTAAGCTGGTGCCTAGTTGTGCTTCTAAGCTGGTGCCTAGTTGTGCTTCTAAGCTGTTGCCTAGTTGTGCTTCTAAGCTGTTGCCTAGTTGTGCTTCTAAGCTGGTGCCTAGTTGTGCTTCTAGGCTGGTGCCTAGTTGTGCTTCTAAGCTGGTGCCTAGTTGTGCTTCTAAGCTGGTGCCTTGTTGTTGTTCTAAGCTGTTGCCTAGTTGTGCTTCTAAGCTGGTGCCTAGTTGTTGTTCTAAGCTGGTGCCTGGTTGTGCTTCTAAGCTGGTGCCTGGTTGTGCTTCTAAGCTGGTGCCTGGTTGTGCTTCTAAGCTGGTGCCTGGTTGTGCTTCTAAGCTGGTGCCTAGTTGTGCTTCTAAGCTGGTGCCTGGTTGTGCTTCTAAGCTGGTGCCTGGTTGTGCTTCTAAGCTGGTGCCTGGTTGTGCTTCTAAGCTGGTGCCTAGTTGTGCTTCTAAGCTGGTGCCTGGTTGTGCTTCTAAGCTGGTGCCTGGTTGTGCTTCTAAGCTTGTGCCTGGTTGTGCTTCTAAGCTGGTCTGAGTTAAACTTTTACTTAGGGCCACGGTTTTTAACTCTCCAAAATATCAAATGTCAAGACAAGAATTAACAATTAAAATTTGTGATGAAGATTTTTAATGACGTCATACTAAATGGAAATGAGTCTTCAAGAATAAAACCAAAACATGATGATCACAATACAGGGGACTAAACGAAAGGTGGGTCTCCGGGTTACCACGTGACCTACTCTTACCTGCCCGTGAGGTCGCACGGGTGATCCTAATGTTTGTTTTGATGGCCACATCTGAAATCTAATGTCTCCGTGGAACAAGTGGATGGGTGAGTGAGACAGAACACCCTCGGGCTGGTATCAAAAATGTAGGGCTACACTTAGTTCAGGTCGTTGCCGCAAAGAGGTGCTCAACCCTGTACAATGCTCGTTTTGAAAATTTCTCAAAACATTCTCTAGACACCCAGTAAACTAGAAATATTAGTTTAGACTGTTTTCATACTTTTCACGAGCAAAGTTCTTTGGTCAGATTTAGTCAGCGCATGGCTAGACATGTTTAGGTTTCAAATTTTGCCACCCCGGTAAACGTCTGTAGCCCCGGGCCAAAGACCGCTCTGCACCCATTTCAATCTAGGTCAATCTGGGCGTTTCATCTATACATGCAAATACACTTATAAGGTCAAACTTTCAAAGTTGTGTTTTTTTTTTTTTTTACAATTATGAGAAGGATATAAAATCATAAAAAGTCAGTGCGGTCAGCCGTATGTCAGTGTGGTCAGCCGTATGTCAGTGTGATCAGCCGTATGTCAGTGTGGTCAGCCGTATGTCAGTGTGNAGTTGTGTTTTTTTTTTTTTTTACAATTATGAGAAGGATATAAAATCATAAAAAGTCAGTGCGGTCAGCCGTATGTCAGTGTGGTCAGCCGTATGTCAGTGTGATCAGCCGTATGTCAGTGTGGTCAGCCGTATGTCAGTGTGGTCAGCCGTACTCACAGTGTGGTCAGCCGTACTCATTTCATTATCGGAAAACCTAAAGAAAAAAAAAAGAACTAACAAAAAAAAAAAACCAGAAACGAATGTGTCGGCGAGAAGCCTTCATTAGCAAACAAACAACAGTATAAACAGAGAAATAATAAAAATAACACTCCAACCAGCTACGTTGCCCCACTCTTCTACCAGCTACGTTGCCCCACTCTTCTACCAGCTACGTTGCCCCACTCTTCTACCAGCTTCGTTGCCCCACTCTTCTACCATCTATGTTGCCAGCACTATATAAAGAAATACGTGAAAGCTGGTACATTTACTTTTCAACAGTTGCATACGACGATTTCATGTTAACTGAATATTTTAATGTTATTTCCAAAGACAATGATTGACCGATTTTAAATGTATCTCTCCTTTTTACTGTATATGTGTTAACTATCCCCCCTCTCTCTTTCTCATTCTCTCTCTCTCTTTGCTCTAGTTTTTCTGACTTGTATCTGTGTAAGTGCTTGTATCTTTATCTCTATCTGTATCTGTGTCTGTATCTTTGTCTGTATCTGTGTGTCTGTATCTGTATCTGCTTATGTTTCTGTATATGCGCCTGCATCTGTGTATGTATCTGTATATATGTATCTGTATCTCTTTTTCTATATCTATATGTCAATGTATATGTGCCTTGTATGTGTCTGTGTTTGTGTCTGTATCTCTGTCTGTATCTGTACCTGTATCTGTATTGTTGATTGTACTTACTGTAGGTACTACAAATAATATGTATGCATATCATAAGTGCCCGTGTTCGCCTATGCTCCAATTTAATTGGCAATTACTTCTTTTCACACATTCAATTTCTGTTTAAGCACAGTGATCCATGACAGTGATCCATGCATTGAATAGAATGATTGGTTTAAGCACAGTGATCCATGCATTGAATAGAATGATTGGTTTAAGCACAGTGATCCATGCATTGAATAGAATGATTGGTTTAAGCACAGTGATCCATGCATTGAATAGAATGATTGGTTTAAGCACAGTGATCCATGCATTGAATAGAATGATTGGTTTAAGCACAGTGATCCATGCATTGAATAGAATGATTGGTTTAAGCACAGTGATCCATGCATTGAATAGAATGATTGGTTTAAGCACAGTGATCCATGCATTGAATAGAATGATTGGTTTAAGCACAGTGATCCATGCATTGAATAGAATGATTGGTTTAAGCACAGTGATCCATGCATTGAATAGAATGATTGGTTTAAGCACAGTGATCCATGCATTGAATAGAATGATTGGTTTAAAACTCCTAATGCACAACTGCGTAAACTCAAATAAATGAAAAAAAATAAATTTAAACTTAAGAAAATATTGTCATACTGCAAATATAACTTACAATTTATTTTATCAAAGTCATTAATTGGTCTTTTCGTTTAAACAAAATTCTCTGCTCTTTTCAAGAAACACATTTTTCGACTTTGTTATCAACAAATTTTGCGAGTTTGTCATCAACAAAAAAAAAAAATAAAAAAATTACAAAGTAATATCACGTAAACATCAGGTAATACATCTGGGACTAGGCGCTTGAGGCGGCAATAAATTGACATAACAAGTTACGGCATATCTCTACGGGTGCACCAAGTCTTTAAAAAATTGCTTTTAGCAGCGCTGAAATCGAGTAATTTGTCCATGACATTAGCTGAGTCAATGAGCTAATTGTTCGTATTCCTCCAAGCGCACTCTTCATTGGTCGCAACCTTGCGGTCTAGTAGTTAGCCACCAATCTCCAGGGTACATGTATTTTTGGATCTCGATGCCGTCGTGCGGTACGCTTACCGTGACGCCGGCCAGCGAAGCGTTACTGAAAGGTGGGTCAATCAACCACATCGGGAACGGGCGGTACACGTCGTCCATCCGGTAGAACGCGTGGAAGGAGACGCCGGAAGGACACGCCCACCGCTGAGGCGCAGGCTGCGTCGTCGGGAGATATCCGGGCGGGCTGTTCAGGTACTCGTCCCGATGCGACCGGTAATACCAGTCGGTGCAGTCGGAGAACAGGGTCAAGTGTCCGACGGCTGTGTCCAGCTCGAGCTTGAAGTGTCCGTGCCACCAGCTGTACGTGCCGAGGGCGATGCGCTCCGCGCGGAACGACGCGTGCAGACTCTGCACGGTGACACGGTTCAGATCCGAGGCCCTGGCGCACATGTCGACGTTGTCGTCCCACGGGAGGATGTCTCCGTGCCGCAGGGCGCCCCACAGTGTGCCGTAACACAGAACCGGCTCCACGCCGAGACCCCGCAGCACCCGGAAGGTTTTGTTGACGAGGTCCACCATGCTGAGCCGATCTTTCTTGTCTTTGGCGCAAGGACCTGCCCCGTAGTACCACCGTGTGTGTTGTATTTGGCGGCCGTGCAGACAGAGTCGGGCCAACTCTAACACTTGGCTCAACAGCAGAATACAAACTACAGCCGCCAACAGCCATCCGCTCGGTGACAGTTTAGTTCTTTTACACATTTCCAAGGCTTTCAAACTACGGCGATCATCCATGAAGAAAATGAGAGTGAATCGAATATTCGAACTTGATAATTTCTGAAAAAGTGTAACTGTTATTTGGAGAGCCCTTTTATAACTTTTCCCCACTTACATTAACCGTTAGAATCCCAATCACAGGATGTTACAGCGAATCATGTCATTATTGTAATCTTTACCGCAATGCGCTGGTCCTCAAGGTTACATTCCGATAGCGCTGACAGCCCTCTGGCTATTGTGGTAACGGCTTTTCGTAATGTCTTATTGTCTGTTCGTGGTAACACAAACGTAACGTTAGGAATATACCCTCCAAAAACCGAACATATATTCGAGGTATTTCTGACTTGATGCATACAAATATGATTTGCTACAATAAAATATATTTTAAAAAAAAAGCACACAATTTGTTGAAGGTGCTGATCTCAGAGGCCGTTTCAATGCAGGCACCCGACACTGATGTGGCACCGTCACGGACCGCGGGTCAGAAAGGGCGTGGGTTAAAGGTTAAGTCAAGGTGCAAACGTCTTCTCTGGCCGCTTGTTCTGTAGGCCTGGTAGTGCCATCTGCAGCTGCGAGCGATCAACATCACTTTGTTATAGTTACTCTTTAGACAGTGAACATTTCATGACAATCACACTGAGATCATTTAGGATATGAACATGGGGAATGATAAAGATCTACAAAGTATCAAGAAACTACAACATGTCTCCTGCGGTCTGCAACTATGAAAGCAAATCTGAAGAAATGAAACAATGAGTTTTAACGGAGAAAAAAAATAATGTAAAAAATCATTACTGTGTGTTGCCCCATTAAAGGAATGTTTCAAGAAGCTTAACTAGACCCAGTCTCAACTAAGTTTAAACCTACAACTAAGTCTTCACCTCCATCAAGGCGGTTTTCAATTTGGAAGTGATTATTTTAATCTTTAAAAAGCAATGACGAACAAGTCAGTTTTCGCTCACTGGCTTGACATGAATCTGATTGCTCTGGTGCAATACAGTCAACACTGCTGTAGGCGACCGATGGCGGTGTAAATCTATTCATAGGTGATATTTCAAATCAAACAATCTATTTTCCCAGTCTTTATAAGTCCCAATACCCTGTATTATATGCACGGCGAATAGAGAATATTAACTATATCAGTTGTCCCTAATCAGTGGTTCACACATTCATAATGATATCAGTGACAGACATAGTTATATACATTGTTAATCTCATCATGAAAAAGAGGTGTAGCTAAGGGGGTGGGGGGGGGCAGATGTCCCTGTGTACCAGACTAGTCATGTGAAATAAAATGGGGTTTTAATAAAATACTCTATTCCTAGTTTATGTCAGAGAACTGACCTTGACCCAGTCTGATATGTTTCATCTCTTCTTCTGGATCTGTCATTGACGACATGACAACTACACTCACTCGTGCCTAATGGATTCAGTAAACTCAGACTAAAAATGTAATGGAGTACCAAGTATCTGCGTCAGACCGAGCGGTCTCAGCTGTCTCAAACCAAATAGCTGGTGGTCAGGAGTTCATTCCTCACCAAAGCCAACATCCCACGCAACCCGGGTGGATGGGACTCGTTAGCCTTGGACGGCAACCCATGGCATCTAAGAGAAAGGCAAACTCTGAATTTAAATCAGGAGCCAGAATGATAAAAAAATTGATCGTGGGCCCCCTCAAATATCAGAAGAAACAATGGCAGCATCTGCAGAGTGTACTTCATGATGATAATTCATTTTCGAAACATCGGTCGTCTTGTAAGCCTAACACCATTCCCAGAACACACACGCATTGAGTGGATGACTTTTGATGACCAATCTAACGTGAGCCAAGACCATCTACACGTAGGCTCACTAGCGTTTGAGTTCACGTCGAAGATTAAGGCTCAGTTCATAGTTCATACGATCCAATTTTCGTCACATTTGCTTCAAATTTTTGTCAAATTTCTCTGTGAACTCACTAGTTCGCATTACTAAATAATGCATTCAAAGAGAAATTGTCGTCAAATTTGATGGTGTGAACTGATCGTGACAAACTCTATCTGGAGCGTCGTTCGAAATGATCAGATGGCGCGACATCTTTAACTGAATATTGTTAACGTGGGTTGAAAATTACGAATGAGCAACTTACCGGACAAAGACGAGCTTGCAATCGTGCCGTAGTCATATAATAGACATAAAAATCGGATGTATTATCCCGGTCATGTTTACATACTATCGACCTCCTCGTGTTAAATATCGATCTGGCCCTGGACGTGTATCCGCATACAATTTTAACAACCAAACCCACCTGTTGAGATATTACCTGAGTTTTTTTTTTTTTTTTTTAATAATACAAAGTAATGAACACGAAATGGAAGAGATTTTTTTTTTTTAAAAGAAGGGATTCTAAAAATTTTAGGCAGAGATGCCCATACGTCAATAAATTATTCCTCCCTATTTACATACTATCGACCTCCTCGTGTTAAATATCGATCTGGCCCTGGACGTGTATCCGCATACAATTTTAACAACCAAACCCACCTGTTGAGATATTACCTGAGTTTTTTTTTTTTTTTTTAATAATACAAAGTAATGAACACGAAATGGAAGAGATTTTTTTTTTTAAAAGAAGGGATTCTCAAAATTTTAGGCAGAGATGCCCATACGTCAATAAATTATTCCTCCCTTCTGCATGATGATCATGTATGTGAAAGGTATGTTAAAATAGCTCTACGTGCTGACGGCTCATCTATGGATCGAGACCCATAGGGTTAGATGACGTGGAGTGGGAGTTAAGTTGAGGAGGGTCCCTACGGGGAGAAAGAGGGGTATTGATGGTAACAGTGGCGGGATATGGGGATGGGGGAGGAAGCACCCTTCATGGCCTATATTTCCTTGGATGATCAAGATGATGACTAGTGTCAGGCGAAGTCTCATGACTCTGTAAGATAAGGAAAAAATGATAAAATGATAAGTGAACATAATTTTAAAAAGTCTAACAAAGCATAGCACGAATCGCCCAAAAGCCTATCCAATCAACAACAAATCGGATGATGCGTAGTAAAGAATTAAAAAAAAATGATTTTGTAAAGTAAATTTCGTTCCATTTCTTAGTCCAAGAACCATATAAAGAACGCTGTTAATTGTCGATTCCCCCCCCCCTCTCAATCTTGATTGAAATCGACCTAAGGTTTAATCCACAACTCTGATTGATTTTTACAACAAAGACATCTGTAGGTTTGCAAAGATTCTCTGTTATTACCACAACAACCAAACATCACGACTTAGAGGACTATTTTTTTTTTTAAAATAATGGTATCTCACTTTCCTTGACAAGGGGTCATTGAAAACAAACTATTTTATGGAGAAATAATGACTTAAAAAAAACAAAAAAACAAACACACTCAATTTACTAAATAAGAACGCCTTCTGATTATCTTTGTTGATCTCTGTGTTATGTTAAAAAAACAACAAACCAACTCAACTCAAAGTGAAGGTTATGTTGGTGAGGGTCAGATTCAAAACTGGATGCGGGGCGACACCAGCCTACTCATCCTCTACCGTGATGTCAATCTTCAGCCCACTTGTTGCACAGGCTCAGTCGGTGGGGCGTGAGGCAATAGTTCCCCCCGGGGGGGGAGGGAAAGAGTGGGTGGCGAGGAACTCGTGGCTGTGACAGGGGGGGGGGGGGGGAGAGGGGGGGCGGGGGGGGGGGGGGGAGGGGGGGGGGGGGGGGGGTGTGGGGGGGGGGGGGGGGGGGGGGGGCTTGAAGCAGCTGACAGTTCTGGAGGGCCGGGAATCTGCCCAGGTCCTCCATGGTGACAGTGATGTCATCTGTGATCAACATGACGAGGGTGCCCAGCTTGATGACGATCGAAGATGAACGAGAAAAGCCATAGGTTCACTTGCATATATATATATAGCTAAATGTTACTGCGGTATAACTGTATACATATACGTGGTTTTTTTAAATAAAGAGATTTCATTTAAAAGCAGACAATTTTTAAATCGATCCAAGGAACAATAAGGTAAATACTCATGCAACTTAGTGGGATAACAGTGGGATACTAGTGGCATGCTAGTGGGATACTAGCGGGATGTTTAGGATCACGAAGACGGGACGACATTGTGAGACAAATTATAAAGTAGTTTTTTAATTAAAGAAAAGTTATAACCTATCTTAATGATGGGGACATAACGTTAAGACTTAAGAAACGATTGTACCCACCTGGTCGAGAGGATATGTTGTTAAGACATGCTATATCATCATCTTAAGGTTATCATCATCTTAGAGTTATCATCATCTTAAAGTTATCATCATCTTGAAATTATCATTATTTTAAAGTTATCTTCTTTTTAAAGTTATCGTCTTAAAGTTCTCTTCATCATAGAGATATCATCATCTTAAAGTTATCATCATCTTGAAAGTATCATTATTTTAAAGTTATCGTCTTTTTAAAGTTATCATTTTAAAGTTATCATCATCGTAAAGTTTTCATCATCGTAAAGTTATCATAATCTTAGAGTTATTATCATCGTAAAATTATTATCATCTTAGAGTTATCACCAGAATAATTCTCTCCATAAAGTTTAAAGCATAACAAAAATTCTAGCAGGTTGATTTGTCAGAGTGCCACTCCAATGATAGCAGGTTGATTGGTCAGAGTGCCACTCCAATGATAGCAGGTTGATTGGTCAGAGTGCCACTCCAATGATAGCAGGTTGATTGGTCAGAGTGCCACTCCAATGATAGCAGGTTGATTGGTCAGAGTGCCACTCCAATGATAGCAGGTTGATTGGTCAGAGTGCCACTCCAATGATAGCAGGTTGATTGGTCAGAGTGACACTCCAATGATAGCAGGTTGATTGGTCAGAGTGCCACTCCAATGATAGCAGGTTGATTGGTCAGAGGGCCACTCCAATGATAGCAGGTTGATTGGTCAGAGGGCCACTCCAAGGATAGC